GGTCCCACCTCCTCGCTCCAGTTGGCAACTGTTCATTTCATGAGGGAACTAAATTAGCAGGGGCCGTTTGTTGTAATTAAACCCAGCCCTCTTGTTTCCGTGCAGAGCCCACAGGGGTTGGCCCTGGGAGATCAGAGGTGGTTCAGCTTCTCCCACTGACGCCGTTCTACCTCGGGCCAGGAACAAAATGTGCTAAACAGCAGGATTTGTTTGCCAGAAATCCTAAGACAAGATTTCTTAGAGAAACTCTAGATTTAGTCCAAAAAGATTATTTTTTTCCAATTAAGACATAAAATCGAAAGGAGGATTATTTGCCCAGCCCCCAGGCAGGCCTTTAAGAGCAGTCTAGCAGTCAGTGAGATGAGATAACGAGAATCTTTACTGGTGCCTGCAACGCTTTGCTGACCAACACATCAGCCCTATGTACTGTCCCCGTGGCCTTTTGTCCCCAGGGCGGGAGGTTCCTCCAGCTGCACAGGGACAGCATCACTCATCCCCGAGATGCTCACAAGGGAGGTCCAGGAGGGACTACCAAAGATACAAACCCTTATGTGTGAGAAAGACACAGTTCCACACAGAGTCCAGCTCCACACCATCCCTTTGATACAACGGTGGGTCCCTCAGGTCAGGAAGCCCTAAGGAAAGTGCTCACAAAGTTCCTTGTGTTATTGTTGCCTATCCTAGCTGGAGCGCAGAACCATTGTTAAGAAAATAGAAGTGAAAGCTGATGTGGTCTACATTTATCTGGAGAAGGTACGTGAGAACAAAAGCATTTGGTTTGGCACAGTGAGAGCAAGAGGACGAGGAGCTGTGTGAGAAGCCCGAGGCTGGGCCAGGCATGGGGCAAGAGCGCTGGCAGAACCCCGGGCGGAGGAAGCTTGCCCAATGTCATTGTCGTTGGATTAGCATTTGCCATTCCTCACACATACTCCATTTCTAAAATCCATGATTTCTAATGGATTGGGGAGATGTAGTGCAGGAAAGCATTCCACCTAGGGAAGGTGAAGAGACAATGACTTCTTACTCCCCTTCCTTGCTAATTTCTTTCCACCTCCACAGCTCAACGATGAATCTCAGACTTTCATTCTCCAACTTGAACAAGTAATTCAGATGAAGAACCTCAAACCGGCCAGCATCAAAGTCTACGATTACTACCAGCCAGGTGGGCTGTAGATTCCCTCCTACTCTGGCGCTGGGAGCTGGGTTCCCAGTTCTCTGGCTGGGAAAAGGGTCACGCGCTCTCCTCTGCGCATGTAGTCAAATTCCTCGTTTCCTTTCGCAGAGGAGCGAGCCTTGGCCGAGTACAGCGCCGTCTGCAGCTGAGGTAGGCAGCGAGTCCCTGCGTGACACAAACAATGGCATCAGGAAATGATGGGTGTTGGGTGGGAGAGGGTGAACGTAAGCAATTACGGGCGGGAAGGAGGGTGGTAATCCATGGGGAGCATCTATCCAGCTAGAAAGAGGAACTGGACTTGCCTGAGGCTGGTGTGTGGAGATAGGATGGGGGCTCTTTGGCAGCCGGGGAGGCAGCTGCAAGGCTCTGGTGGAAGGTGAGGACAGGGACAGTGTCTCTCAAAGTGAGAATGAGGAAGGAAGGGCTGAGCATGACGTGGAGTGAGAGCGCAGAACTATAGCAGCCTGTGCTAACTGGGGCCCTCAGACCTGGACGTGGCTTTTCTGCCTCCACTCCCCACTGTACTCATTGCAGGGGATTCAGGGAGCCAAGGGAGCAAGCTGAAGCTGGGAGGACGTAATATTTTGTCTTGTGGGGTGACATACCCAGCTGTGAGAATGGGGGTGGCGTGTTAGTAGCAGCCTGAAGCCAGGACAGGTCTGGAAAAGTCCCTTCTGGAAGGATAAGACAGAATCTTGACGTGGTACATGCTCCATCCTGACACCACCTGACAAAGACCTGTCTAGAGAGCCACCTCCACTACGAGCCAAGACAAGGCACCTTCCACAGCCTGGTGATAGCCATGGAGGGTACTGGATCACACTCTCCTTGTTTATCTTGCCTTCTATCCCCACATGGTTCCTCAGAAAGGGGTGGAGGAGCTCCTAAATTTGTGATGAAGGAAAGGAGAGGAACTGCCACACCGTGACTCCTGCCTTTGCCCAATGTTTCAGATCGGGCACTGAATGGAAGGAGGTGCCCCAGCTGGGACACAGCCCACGTGAAAGCTGAGCCCATGTGCTCCTGTGTCCGAGTGGATGGACCGAGGGATCACAGCAGTCGTGCCGGCACTGCGAGGGCCTGAGGTGGGATGGGGTGGGGTGGGGGTTGTCACATATCTGCAACACTCCTGGGAAGAATAATTAAAGTAAGCATGAGCCCTGACCCTGCCTCCATTGTGCCAGTCAATGAACTACAGGCTCAGCCCGTGAGGACACCGTTTCTGCCATGGTCGATGTACAAACCTTCTAGCTCCTCTGTTGCTCTCTCCTCATACTTCCCGTGGTTTCTCCTAATACTTCCTGCAGTAGGACTCGGGCAGCTTTGGAGTACGAGATGCAACTGAACTCGCTGTGACAGCTGTACCTCCTGTGCCCTCCCTGCCAGCTCCTGTGCCACCACTCTTCTTTGAAGCAGTCTCCAGGTAGTAACGCAGCGCATGGAGCCTCCAGCCCCTCACCCCCCGTCAGCACCATGATTGCCAACTGCTCTCGATAACGGTCTCTAAATGCAACTGCTGGCCAAAGGACCCATGGAACGCATCCTGGCCTTCAGCTCCTGCATGTGTGATGGTAAACCCCACCAAGGCACCAGCTCTGCCTTGGTGCCTGCTCCGCCTCCGCCCATGCCAGTCTGCTGCTGGTGGGGCAGAGTTTTGCACGTGTCCGTGCAAAGGTGAAGAAGTCATTTTTCCCAGGTGCTCTTAAATGCAGTTTTCCTCGTTTGGGAGAAAAGCAGTAAACCTGAATAATCGCTCAACCAGACAGTTCTAGTCTCCTGATTTTTAATAAGGTGCCAGGCACGGTCTGAGCCTTTCAGAAGCCAACTGCTCCGCAGGAAATTTCAAGTGTTTTCTCTTTGCTTCCCTTCTCCGTGCGGTGGCTGTTGGCGGGAGTCACGAAGGACTGACGGACAGAGAGTGGGTCCGTCCTTGGTCCTGTGAAGACAACAAAGGACAAAAGAAGCTGTGTTCCTGTAAGGCAGACCACTGGGAGCTCGGGCAGGGGGTTTTGCACCTCGTGATGAAACGGGACCACCGAGCCAGCAAGGACGGGGCGCTCTGACTCTGCCCGTACGCAGCCTACGGCAGAATCTCCACCGGGAGCGTGGGGCTCGTGGCCGGCACCCCGGGGCAGGGCTGCGTGCCTCCCATGGGCGATTCATGGAGCAGGTGTCATTCTCCATCCCGTGGGCTGTTCAGAACAGGAGCGGGCACTGACTGAGTTCAGGCTTTGCCTTTGCCCAGCCTGGAGAGCGCTTGGGCAGGTGCCCATTCCCCAGCATGGACCAGAAGCCGGGCTGGGGCTGCGAAAGGCTTGGCACCGAAAAGGTAAAGGTGAACGTGGCGTGTGCTCGGGGCTGGAGGGCTGTGGGACTGCAGGGAAGGTACTGGGAAAAGGAACCGTGTGGCCTTGAAAGTATATTTGCTGCAAAATGGGAGGACTGACTCGGGACAGGCAGCCCTTGTTTTCTGTAACGTACCTCCAAGTCTGCCGTGAGCTGGGCACCTCAAACCTGCCACTTCAGCTCTCCCTTTCCCTCAGTCTAACCACTGGGACACAGGAACTTACCCGTACTTAGCGTTACTCCCTACCCTGAACCAGCAGACTGGCCAGTTTCTCCACCAAGGGCCCTTGCCTGCACCTCCTTCCCTCTCCATACTCCTCAGGACCATGCCTGTGATGGCAAAAAGTGTCGGCTGGACCCTCACCTCACTCGCACGGGGCACTGTAGCTCATCACCGCAGTTTCTTCTGGAAGATGAGGAAAAAAAGTGCTGGTGAGACACACTTCCCCAAAACCCCCTAAAGCATCCCAGCGTTGTGCCTCTGTTTCTAGGAAAGGGGGTCCCTCTGCTTGCAGACCACGACTCCCCTCCGCTGTGACGCGTGAAGCCACCGGTCTGTGCCAAAGACTTTGTGTGCGGCTAGCCCAGCATCACCCACGCCGTGGGGCTTGCCATCTTTTGAAGCTGTAAGTCCCAAACAGCTCCATTACAGTTATGGATTCCTCACTTTCTGGAGCGATAGCAATCCGTGACACGTTTCTAGCTTTTCTTGCCACGAGGGATCCCAGAGAACAAAGGACAAGTTGGTTTCAGTGCCATTCTCCTAAGGGGGCCCTCACTTGTCCAAGCCACCCCCTCACTAGGGTCCCTCTGCCTTCGCTGCCTGCCACAAAGGGAGGGTACAACGACGCAGCTCCTTGCTCCTCTCTCGTTGGGACAGTCAGACCCTCAGCGGATCTACGTGCCGACTTCAAGGTGGCAAATTCTGTAACCAGCGAAAGAAGGATCCACCGTTTTGAAACCCAAGAGTGTAAGTGCATCACTAGGGGCACTTCTAAGGGGCAGTTAGTTGTGTCAAGGATGGTATTGTCTTAGACTTGACAACTGCAGAAAATTTCTTTCCAGTGGTACTTTCGGGTGGTTTCTCTGAGCTCACCTGGCATGTAGTAATCGTAGACCTTGATATTAGCTGGCTTAGGGTCCTTCACTCGCATGTCCTGCTGCACCAGCAAAGTGTAGGTGTGAGGCTGTCTAGTCAGCTAAGACCAAGAGATGCAAAGATTAGAACAAAAGTCCTGTAAGACAGTCCCTTCCACCTGCTCTCACTCAGGCTCCGTGGAGACCTCACCACTGTGACACATCTGTTCTGCTTTCCAGTCTGTCTCAGAAATGTCTTTTACTCCACATTCTGTAGCCATCTCCCACTCTTGGTCACCAAATGTAACTCAGCTCACGAGAGACACCAAACCCACAGACTCAACATGAATTAGGGATCAAGCTGTAGCACTGGTGTTCCCAACCAAGCCCACGTTCCCATCCAGCTCTGCTCTGAGCTCCCCTGTCCATCTTGCCTCAGCGGCTCTTTTCTTATACGCAGTCCTGTCACATCAGCTCTTATTCTCCAGTCTCACACAACCCTCACCGTTAAGCAGACCAACGCAAGGCGTGGATGAACATCTGATGGGTGGTGGTAGTTACATGACTAGCTGTTGACTGGGTTCCACCTTGTGCTACCTGGCAGCCCGAGCTGAAATCTTTCTCTGTGCTGCAGACGTAACAAAAGCAGCATCTCTGCAAGTTTGGTGCACGCACACGGAGATAACTCGCTTGCTACGAGGCTAGCTTAGCTCAGCTTCTTGGCAACTGGGGATGGAGAATCATGGAAAGGTAGGAGTGCTCCTTGGAGCTTCTGAAGATTTTTAATTCAAGCCAGGTCTTGTCCCTGGTGCCGTTTAGGAACCATTCCGTTACAGGAACCATATAGCTAGAGAAAGGCTGAAGTGGTCATTAATCAGGTGATTAATGAGGCTGTGGAGCGAGCACTGCTGCTAGTGCAATCGCCTGGTTTAATTTGGAGCGATCTTGGCAAACTCCGTGACCAAACTTGGACGCTCCCTACTACATTCAGGCTGCTTAAGGGCTTCCTAAGAATTTGGGCTTGCTCGAATTCACTAGATGGATCCTACGACTGCTCCCCAGTCCTGATCAGACACAGTATATGGACCTTCAACAGTCTTTGGACAGTGCCCACAGATGTAGGCCTAGCATCAGAGTTATCCTGGTTTCACTCAACTCCAGTGGCCCTACATGCAGGCTCTGCAGCTGAGCTACTGCAGGCTGACACGACACACTTCTCCAGGTCATCAAACGTGGCTGGTATGCAGGAACAGCAGCTCCAGATACTTAAAATACTAATGGAATCAAGATATGAGAGTAGGCTAAAAGCTACCTGCTAGCCCATAGTCCTCCTAACAATGATGTTAGCCTAAAGGCCACTCACTTCTTCCAGGTAGAGAATGACTCGGTCAGCTTCGCTTTCAACTTTCTTCACTAAAGGCATTTTCTTTAGCTGAAAACAGGGGGGGAAATGTCAGAAAGACTCTAACAGAAAGCAGAAACATTCAGGGATGTTCGTCCTTGTGAGAACGTGGGCAAAACGTTCTTGTGGGGTAGGGAAAGGGTTAGAAGAGTCTTTGGGTATAAAGGGAAGAAAAGAACCATGTTTCTCTGCCCACAGGAATGATCAGAGTTCTGCATACAGTCCTGCATGATGGACACCCACCACTCTTCCCCTCCCAGCTGGATACAAACTCGCAGTCTCACCTCTTCCAGTGAACCTGCCACGGGGCTGTATCCAGACAGCAGCTCCACTTGGATCAGGACCATGTTGGTGGACACACGATTCCCTGCGTAGCTGCAGCAGGAACCCAGGGGACAGCACTAACGTTACTTTCTGAGCCATGAACTCCAGATACTCCAGCCCAGCTTTGGTGCCCAGGTGGAGGAATCTGCCTTTCCTTCCAGTGTTTCTCCTGTAAGTATATCTATTCCTGTACTGTAGTAAAACCTTGTGCTTCCCCTGATCTCTCTTTTAATTGTGCTGAGCCAAGGAGAATAAATTCCTTGGAAGGCTTCTGGAGTTACCTTCTCAAGGCATGGCAGGGAATATCACATTCTCTGCCTGCTCCGTTGGTAGTTCTGTCCCAAGTCAGGCAGGGGTACAGCAGGGGAGAGTGGTGTGACAGTCAACCAGGAGCAGAGGAGGGAAGACTTAGGGATAAATGTCAGCAGTCAGTCCTACAGGACCTTCATGTCACTAGTGTTATGAGACCTAATCATAACATTAGTGAGACCTATAGATCTTGGGAGAGCTTGTGGTGACTGGCATGATACTGAGATAGGACCAAAGCCCAAGCCTTCTCTCCGGGGCCTTGTACCTTTCACCCAGCTGAGGAGAGCACAGTTAAATCAATGGAGACATCTTTCATGGAATGGGGACATCATCCCTGGAAGTGCTCAAGGCCAGGTCGGACGAGGCTTTGAGCAACCTGGTGTAGTGGAGGGTGTCCCTGCCCATGGCAGGGGGGTTGGAACTGGATGATCTTTGAGGTCCCTTTCAACCCACACCGTTCTGTGATTCTATGATTCTATCTTAGCACTTGGACCTCATGAATGAAGGAGAATTCTGGCCATCAAGAGACTGGTGTGGTGCCAGAAGGCTCTTAGCACAGGGGAGGCAAGGGGCAACGGAGTGTCTCCTACCGAGCATGAACGGTGACGGGGAACTGGGTGGCGTTGGGTGCAGTGCACTCTGTCTGCACAGACACGGCAAAGGTGACGTCACTCCGTGGTGGAGGGATGTGGTACCGCAGAATGGCCTGCCGGGACAGAAGGAAGCTGGTTGGCATTTCAAAGCACTTTTGTTGTTGTTGTTGTTGTTGTTGTTGGACAGTATGTCCTTGTCTAGCGTTTGGCTGCCGTTTGCTGTCTCGCGCTGGTGAAGAGAAAACTGTGGCAGACGCGGAGGTTCTGCCAGGGCACTGCTCCTGGTGGTGGTCACTGGAATTCCTGGAGGGCAGGTGCAGCTCTGGGTGGAGATGATCCAGATTTCATTTGGGGAATTGCTATTCCCTTCCTGTTGGATCTCAGCTACTCCTACCAGCCTTGAAGCCCACATTTTTGCAAGTCGCTGCAGCAATCTGTTTTCAGTGGTGGCTGAATAGCAAGGTGAGAGCTCCCCTGGCTTTTCCCCAGACAGACCTTGTCTCCCTGGCTGGGCTTACCTGCAGGAAGAGGCACCCCTGGCCCTGCACACGCACAGTATAATCTCGGGAAACGGCTGGCAGCTCCACTGTCTGCAGCAGGAGGCGATTGCTGTTGTCTACTCGGATGTTTTGGCTGAAACCCTCAGAGGAGAGAGAAGCCTGCAGATCAGGGCCATCCTTGCTGAAGGTCTTCGTTGCGTACAGGGCTAGGGCTTCCAGAGCAACCACCGTGTCCTGTGGAAAGAGACACGCATTGGGCAAAATAGGATCCCTGCTTCCTGTGCATGTCCCGTCCTTGGCCTTCCCCTCCCTCGTCCTGCAGCTACAGCGCAATGAGGGTTGAGTTTTCCCCTTGGACTTTGAGCATGGGATTAGCTCAGAGGAACACAAATATTCACCTCTTCCCAACTCCCAGGAGCAGTAAATCCATGCATCTTTTTTTAGCTTTTTTTCTTTTTTTCCTGTGGGCTGTGCTAGAACCCACTGCTCCCACAAACCATGGTTGAATGCAGCTTCTCTGCTGCTGCTGGCTCAAGGGGTTTACCTGGGTAGAAGCAAAGCCTCCGTAAGGGTTTTGCTGCTTGGTGAGCCAAGACACAATCTGGGATGCTTTTCTAATTTCATCTGAAGACAAACTTGACTTTGAAAGGTGAGCCATGAGGATACTAGATGTCAATTCCACATCAACAGATGGAGCCCGATACCAGTATGGGGAGTCTTCTTCCTGTTTGGGCTGTTGACTCCAGAACATTTGGTTATCTAGAGGTGGAGCAGGAACACTTATGGAGCATGCAGCAGTATGTGATGACCTTGGAGTCCTACTCAGCCCCTGTGCCTAGGTACTGAGTGAACAGGTACATTGGAACTAGATGATCTTTGAGGTCACTTCCAACCCTAACCATTCTATGGTGCTATGACTGGGACAAGATAGGGGTGCATATCTCCCTATTTGCTCCCACATCCTGCTTTTCCTAGTAAAAACCTGCAGGCTGGGAAAGAGCTTTACAGCATCCATGAAGCTCCCCTGGTTTGGATGACTGGGAGACCAGGACAGCGAGATCATCCATAGAGAAAGTCTGTCTGATATTATGGATACAGCCTGTGGCAGGCCGGCAAACAAAGCGTCTGGCAAGCTCCCGCGGTTTTTTTCCTCCATGCCCCCCCTCCATTCCCTCAGTCATTCAGCCCCAAGATCTCCATGCAATTCCACCCACAGCCTTCTCTCCTGCCCCACAGTCTTCTGTACCTGATATTATGGCGGCCTTATCCAATCTTTGCAGGATTTTCTGCCTGAGAGCTTTATCACCTGCTGCTGCGAAGGCGTTTGCGGCCAGTGCCAGGCTGTAGAGGTTGGAGCCGTCAGCATCAGCGTTGACCAGGTCCTTTATACATCTCAGGGCTTTCCATACAACTGGGTCCTGGGATACGATTGAAAGCAGACAGGTTGCTGGCAGGGTGTGTGGGGAGGGCATGCAGCCTGGAGGCAGGCAGAGGAGGGTGGGAACAGGGACAGGACACGCGGGGAGAGAGCCGGTAACGTCAACCCTGCGCGCAGAAGGGCTGAGCACCCATGCGGTGCCCACCGAGAGGCTGCACGCCCAGCCTGTCCTGCTGCCCGACTCACCGAGCGTGGCATCCCCGAGTGGATGAGCGCTGTGATGATGGCAGAGCTCAGCCCCAGTCCCTCCTCCACTGCACCCTGCAGCCACCACGAAACAGAGGAGAGGAGGGCTGCCATGAGAAGGGGCAGGGAGAAGTCTTTCAGTGCCTTCTGCACTCCGCCCCCCCAGCAGAAGCCAGCACAAACAGTGGTGTCGGTCCTATTTCTTCTGCTAAGGAAGTGCCAGGGCTGGTGTCTACTCTTGCAGGTCCTGCTTCCCAGAGTGCTTCTTGGCCACGATGCCCCATGGTTCCCTGGTTAGCCGATTCCCTCCCTCTGGGTAGATGATTCGCTCCCTCTGCTGAACGCGTTCCCCTTTCCCCTCCCCTGCAAAAGACTTTCAGCAGCAGGTTTCAGTGCCAGGGGAAAGCGATGTTCCCACAACCCCGCTGCAAGGCGGCACCTCGCTCAAGGGCCAGGACAGTGGCAAGTGTACGGAGGAGCAAAAGGAAAGGTCTCTTTTGCCAAGGGGAAGTGAAAGGTGCCCTTGTCTTCACTTAGAGGATCAAATATCTGAGGTCCTGTCCACCCAACTGCTGTTGGCTCTGCTTTGCTGGTACTCCGTGTGTGTCTGTGCCTGCACAAGTGCTGTGTTTCTGAGTCTATAAGGCACATCCCTGGCAAGGTGAACATCCCATGAGTGGCTGCCATCAGTCTCCGTTCACCCCATTTCTGCCTCTCTCTGTACAAGAGAGAACTCAGGCTGAAGGAAGAAATGATAGCTCAATAACAGGAAAGGAAGCTAAACCAATTTACCAAGGGAATAACAGAGAGCTCGAAAATGTTGGGTTGCTTTGTTAGTTTTTGGGGTTTTTTTGAGGCATGTGTTACCTTAGCCCCATCTCTAAAGCTAAGGCACTGGTTCAGTTCCCAAATGCAAACCTCCATCACTCGTAACTTGAAGAAGTGCCACCGTGACTAAGCGCACCCTGAGTGTCACCCAAGGGTGACCTTGGGTGCACCAGAGCCTCCCTCCTGCAGTAGGGTTCATTTGGTCTTGGCACCCAAATTGAGCCAGAAAGTGAAGGACATGTCATACCATCAGACCATTGTTGAAGAGCTTCCCCACACTCTTGAAGCAGCCAGATGGAGTCTGACTTTTAATCAGGGCACTGGCAGCATCCTTTATGTTCTGCTCATCTATGTGGATGAAGTCCCGGGCTTGGCTGAAGGTCTTGAGGACCAGGGCAGTAAGCCTAGAGCCAAAGAAGGGAGAGGAAAATCGAATTGAACCGGTCACTGACGCCCATCTCCAGTAGGAGACAGGAGTCTCTCTGTCTTCCACTGTCTCATCCTTGGAGAAATACCAGCAGGCCAGAGCCTCTGTGCAGGTTGGGAATTGTAAGCAATGCACGAGTTAGATGCTCTTGAAGCTTGAGCTCAGATCCATTTGCAGCAAGAGAGAAAAACTTCTCCGGCAGTTCAGTGCTTCCCTCAGAGCTCTGGCAATTCCAACACTTGTGGGATTTAAAGCTAGGAGGGCTGATATTTAGTGAGTGTGCTGAGCCCCTTTCCCAATCCTGTTTGGGCACAAAGCACCCTGAAAAACTTGGAAAGAAGGTGTCTTTGCAGCCAAGTTTTCAGAATCAGCCTCGGCTGGGGTGCCCAAGCACAAACAATCAAACAGGGGTACCTTAAGTTGGTTCATTGTCTCGCTTCTCTTCCAAAAAGTCTCAGGAGCAGTTTCTGTTCAAAACTCCGTGCCTCCAGACTCCCTCAGTTTCCCCAGACCGCAATCCAAGCCTGTTGTTCTGGATAGGCTGGATATCTCTGCTTACCAGGTGTTCCCTGGCTCGCTCCCTTCCCCGAAGGCGCTGTATGAGCCATCCGTGTGCTTGTACAGGAGCTGCCGCTGATATCCTGCGGGAAGAAGCTGGGCTGGTGAAGATGCTCGGTGTCTGTTGTGTTCTCAGGGTGACAACCTGCCCCCCAATCCTGCTGATGGTTACAGAGAGCATTGTCTCAGAGAAGTTCAGCGAAGGGATTTCGGAGGGGTGCCGTGCACCCCTTGTCCAGCTGCGACACGGCCGCCGGATTTCCACTGCTGTAATTCCCACGGTGCCAGCCAAGCGACTCTGCACAAATCCTGTTCAGCACCAAGCCTCTGCTGAGATCCCCAGTCTACTGTAATGGCCATCACCAGCTTCATAACCCAACATGAGCAGAAACCCACTCACCAATTTCCAGGTAGTTAATTGCCTTCTGTTTGATTTCTGGAGTTAGCTGTCCTGTTTCTTCAAGGTATCGTGTGATGAAGACGTTGGGGGCGAAATGAACCATGTTCTGCTCACCACAGCCACTGGACATCTGGAGCAGTTCATCTATGTTGTCCAGTGCTGTTCCCAGAATGTCACCTGTAGGACAGAACCACGGCTTTGGGAGCTTTACGTATTCCGGCAGGTAAAAAATTTCTGGTCTCACTGATTTCTCAGATAACCTGCTAAGACTGGTCTCAGTTCACTTCTGCTTGCACCAGGGAGACTTTAATGTCTGTAGAGCCCTACAGGAAGAGTGATATGGTACTTGTCTATCTTTCCCTTGGCTGGGTGAAGTTATACATCCATCTGGCCCAGCGTCACTTGGATAAGAGAATTGAGATGCTTCTCTGGAAGATATAAGGGCCCAGTATCACACCTCCCTGTACACGTTCCCTCTTGTTACTCTTGTTTGCTAAAGCAGACATGGCAGCACCAGAAGAAAAGATTCTTGCAGGGAAAAATCCTGCTTTCCAAGATCCCCCTAAATCTCACCTAAGAAAGAGATGTGGGCTCTCTCCGACCCAAGGACCACGTTCTCTGGCATAGCGAAAGTGATTGTCTCTGAAGCTGGGGTTCCTGCGAATGGCACAAGCATCAGACCAACAGGCCAGGGGGAGGTGGCAGAGCCACAGGCATCCCCAGGAGATGTTGTAAACAAGTCCGAGATCACCTCATCAGTTGGCGTTCAAAAGAGAGGTGACAGAGATGAGGCCAGC